TAAGTAATCTCCCTTTAGAAGGGACTAATTTAGAGGAACTAGTGAGCGGTTTTTGTTGAAGTAGTCTGGAAGTCCTTCCTAAACAAAGCCAAAAACACCATGTTATTGTAAGAGAATTCGACCATCGCTTTGAGAAAATAATACAAAATACCTAATCATGTTTTTTTCTTCACAAACAGATATTTTGGAAATCTGAATTCAACTTATACACATTTTTCTGAGTATAACACGCGGTTTTATGTTCTCAGACAGCAGTAAGCGTTTTAAGAAATGCTCCTTGTGTTTGTTCACTCTGCTCTAATCAGTTATGCAGTGCATGCATCATAAAATTGGATTTGGAAAGGGGACCGAAATGCTCATCATAAATTCATGTGCCCTTCCATCAGACCAGACTGACGAATGTATCACAGTTCGTCCCCGTTTACGACGCGGAATTCTGTCTAGCGACATTTTCCAAGAATAGCGGAACACAACGCAACTTATTCCAGCGGAACACTGACAACTTCCACATTACAGTGCTAAATCATTTTCATTCTTTTCATGTCACACCAGGTTTCCGGTGGTCGTAGTGAAATAATTGAATACCTTGTTCACAAGAGCAACACTTCTCGAGTTCTACAAAATAGCCTGCCAATCATGTTCGGGCGGCAGCGAAAGCGCAAGAGAACAAAGAGTTTCATGTCACTCTTGTTATACAATAAATTAGGATTGGTAGACCAAGTGACTCTTCATCACAGAGACGCAGGAATTGCAATGGAAGCGGGAAATATATGATGTATAAAATGTTCGCAGAGTTGGCGGTTGGTCATCTAGCGGCTGATCTGTTCGTCGAGCTTAAAAGTTGGATTGTAGAAGGTGCACGGTCCAAAACTTCGAAATCCCAATCGGTTGAACGTTATCACCATATGTAGTGAATGGATATGTGGAGAACCTAGATGGAACAGCCTAATAAGAGGATGAGTTGAAGACCAACGGAGACAGAAGTGTTCAATATCTTATCAGATGAGAGAGGGATTAAGGAGTCGTTCAGCATTTTAGTGGTTTTGTGTTACTCGACTGGAGACTTAGAGAGCGAATGGGATACTTTGGGTAATAAAGTTGGTGATGGAAAATATCTGAGTCTCTCTATCTGTAGAATCTTTGGAGAAAGAAGACGGGAATTTCCGCTTACCCCGCTTACTGTTTATTGAGTCGTCGGGGCTTCAAAATCCCGCAGTTTGCATGAACGTCAGAGATCGTCCAGACCCGAAACGTATGTGTGCACAAGATGACGCGTCCCTAAGGTCACCAGCGATACCCTACGTCCCGGATAGCAGAGGCGTCGGTGGAGCCTACCAAATACGGCTTAGCATTATGAAACCAGCGGATTGGGTGTGCAAATGTTCACGACAAGGACGTCGTCATTGCCTGGACAGAACGAACAAAGCGAATGACCGTATTTTGCCATTCAGCCATCCTGTATATTGATGCAGATCTGACAGGGTGTTCCGGGTTTCCCAGTCTGGCAGGCAAGTTCAAGCGTATCCTTTAGACGGTCACCCACGATACCACTCTGAACAGAGGTACTTGTTTTCAATTGATATGTCCCGAAAGGCCAGGAAGACGGAAAGATCGATAATCAGGACAGAAAGGTGTGAATAAAACAGAAGGGAGACAATTTAGCTCTATAAAAGGAGCATTTGAAAAACAAGTGCCCGTGAAACTGAAGGTAGACGTGATTACCGCATCAAGCAATTTAAACCTCCGTGCGGAGAAATACAGAGTCTAGTGAACCACGTTAATGTTGCCATTAAAAATACGCATCTTGCAAAAACTAATATGAAGTCACCAGAAGCAGTAGAACGTTTTGTTACTGGTGAGCTCATGTTTCTCCATCAGATGAATGTCGGGTACCTCAACCGAGGAGATTTAAACCGTAAAACAGAGAAAACTTCCATAAGTGAGTGGATTACAACTTGAGCCGTCTTCTAGCTGGAATTCGCTAATCTGGTCAGATAAACTCCCATCTGACAATGTCTCCTACTCTCCAAAACGCTTTCCTTCATATTTTCCCCGATATTTTCAACCTCAAACAAATCGACAGATAAAGAAGTTATTGGCTACCATTTTAGATCCACCGATCTCGTAATATCCACTAACAACAGTATTTCACTATTCTTCTGCTTAAAGCTCTAACTGTGGTTGAACATGTGCCGTTCTTCAGTTGCTTAAAATGAGTTACTCATTAGCTTGTCACAATAATGCATCCTGCAAGGAAAAAAAACATTACAGTAGCATAATAGCAGAGTCTATTACGACAATAAGAATGCACTGATTGAAACATTTTAACCTTTACCACATATCTATGAAGGCAGTCCTGGCCGTACTGCCTCCTCAACATAATTTGGTCAGTAAGTTTGGGGGGCGGATACATGTAAAAATAACTGTTGTTATTATACGCATTTCACACAATCTTCGTCATTCTGTCAACTGTTCTGCTTCAAGAATTTTCTAGTTAATTTTATGAAATTCTAGTACGATGATGACTTTTGAGGGCTGCCCAAGCTAGCTCCGATAAGGCGGCTCTTTACTCCGTACACGAAGAAAAAATGGTGAAAACTTGCTTGTCTTCAATAGCGGGTCTGTGATAAAATCCCGTTTCCTGCACGGAAAGACTCCATTTCTGACATTCACTGAGTCATTCAGATATAAAAAGTAAAGATCGAAAGGTTCTCTTATTTCCTGTTAAGGTGATTCGTTGCCACAAACTTCGCTGGTATATAGTTACTGCAGTCTTAGCCCGTACGTTGTGGGTTAAATTCTGACTCTAATTTCCTTCTGGTCACACGGCATCCTGGAACTTAAGGTTTACCACAGTTGAGCAATTGAGTCTTCATACAATCGTCTACTTTCTTTAAGAATATGACCACAAACAAGAAAATGAGAGCGATTAATACGCGAGAATATGCAGGAAATCATTACAGAAAAGGGAAAAGTTCCATTCGAAGCCCTTTTACGTTGGGTGAAGTGGCATGCACAGTATGTGAACTGTTTGGAATAGAAAGGTACGTGTGGAAACTAACAACTGTAAAAAGGACAAAAAATGTTCAATTCTTGAAGGGGATTATTCACAACTTTACTGAAAACTCTTTGACAGCCCACGATCGGTTTTGTTCTTCTTGGGAGTCAGGAGGCAGGGCAATCTCCTCGTCTCTATCAGCCTTACGTTCTGCTTAGACGCAAATGGAACAAAATCCGCCAAGTAATCTCGTTTCTATACCAATTTGGCTTTGACAGAAGACTCAGCTGAATCCCAGTTGAATCACACTTTCGTGGTATTTTTCGACTGCATGTGCCTCCCAAAAGTCGGGATTCAGCTGAGTTCACCGTTAAAGCAGAGACTCGGTACGCAAATGACAGCATCTGGTGGATGCTAAGTTCTTTTCATGGGGTTGTAAGCGTTATCACAGCCAAGACTTGAGGGTCTGGCAGTAGGCGTCCGTCATGCCTGATCGGGTTTGAACGTCAGTGACAAGAATGAGTGACCATCACCGAGCCCCAGGCATACAAATGTCCTACGCATGTATAGAGTTTAAATAAATTGACTAGCAAAACTGAGTTACTGAGTATGACCTTAGGAACCCCCAGTCCACCAAGAACCTTAATGGACGGAGGGAAGAAGATTTCGTAGTGTGAAATGATCATCGGTTCACAAACGAAAATATTCAGAACCACTTTATGGCACGTACGGCGATAGAATAAGTGTCAGATACCTAGAATAATTGCCCGAAGAAACGCATGCCCTTGAAACACGAGCACCAAACCACATTTCGTAGTACTCAGCACGGCGTAGACAGCACCCCTTCCATATGTGCCCTCAGCTGCATTGGGTTGGTTGAAACAGGGCTTGGGATACTGAGTCCCCATGTTGTTTACCGGTGTGAATTATGCTGATTGAGGTGTTCTTCGGTGAAAGAAGCCAGCCACGAATAGATTGGCAGATGTAAGTATTCAACCTTCTGAGGGTGGTCCAGTGCACTCGGCTGAGCAAGGGTGAATGTATTAGCTTCGGTATCAAGTGGTTCTTCTCACTGCATATTCTTTGAGCAGCTTCAAAAGAACGGGTTATCTCATTGAAAAATTCCAGCAGCTTCTTTAATCAGTCTCAGGTTCCTATCCCCCCGAAAGTAGAGAGGACACCAAAATACGTCAAGGCGTCCGTCGGACTTAGAGTAGTGATGAGTTCCTCAGTTAACCAGAAACATCTGAATGGTGTTTTCTGCCATCACAACTCACCGCAGATTTCACCTCTCTGGCGCTGACCTCCATACTTGTTTTTACCAACTCAACCACAGCCGCCCCCACCCCGTCTTCAAAACGATATTGCTTTTCCATACACAGAAGTCAGAAAAGGCATTTATGTCCCGTGGACTCATCGAGAGCAGTTGGCGATCTCTTTCGGCCATTGGTGGTACGGAGTCAGGATTGCGAAGTAGTTGACTTGGCAGTCTTCATTTGGCCGCCACACGATAGGCTCGTGGATGAAGGCGCAAAGAGACAGTCTTCCACGTGTGCAGAAATGTCTTGTATCCGTGGTGCTTGAGAGGCGACCGGACTTGCTCCGATGCCAGGTTGCATTCCTCGGGCAAAGGCCAGGTCAACGCTAGCATGCAAACCAGCAGGACTGGCTTCCAATAAAAGAGACTGCAATCCAATTTCCATTTTAACCAGGTGCTCTAGCCTTTAGAGTCGGAAGAATGTGAAGTTGTTTGACCGATGGTTTGGTCGGAGTCAGTAGATGACAAATCGTCCAGGTGTGCCTACAAGTTAGGTTCAGTTTACCTGGTTTTGATACTGATAGTCATTCAATCGAGAAAATATTGTACCATTCTTACGAACAGCGCGGTTGTTGTGTCACAAGACAGACATAACGTGTCAGCCAGGCGTAAGAGCTACAGTGATTTTTGTTGGAACCAGCTGGAACCGGAATGCTTCACTCGCTCAAGCTTACCTTGTTTGTGCTATGTGGGGTGTGCGTGTTGACACTGTTGACTCAGGCCGGTCTTTGTCGCATACAGGTGGGAACAATCTGCGCAGACCAATAGGGTGACCATGTTTGTGCTAAAACTTTCATAGACGTGAATTCGACGGAGAGCTACAAAACCGGTTTTCGGACTGCAGCACCTGCCACAGTCCGCACGAGTCACTCTTATCTATTGATTGAAAATGGTTCAGAGGCGCCAGCTGGAGGGTGTAGTTCACTACCTACAGTAACCAGTACACTTAAACCAAACAGGGTGGCTAATCCATTTGGAACTGCTGCAATCCTAGCTCACCCAGATTGATGTACGGTCCACCTGGCCAGCAAAACTATGAGGTGATTTAGCGCACCGACGTCAACGCCATGGTCAGTTGCTGCGTTTGGTCTTTTTTTGATAGATCTATTAGTTCATGAGGCAATTTCTTTGGTTATTAACAAGTTTCATCCAGTGACTTTTATCTGCACTTCCTTTGTTTTCTGGTAATCATCCTGGAGATTCCAGAAAAACTGCACAATTTTTTCGTATGTTCTGGGAGAATTACCGTCATGCTTTTGATAAATATCTCAAAAGATTAAGGCATAAAAATTTCAGCAAATGAAATCAATCGTTTATTAATCCACAGAAGAGTGATCTGTAGTATTATTAACCTACTCTTAAACGAAATACTCATTCGTCTGTTGATAAAAATGTGGACTCACAACAGAGAACTTGGTGTATATCGATTATGAAGTTGACCCATGTATAATGAGGGTTTTCTTCCTTCCTGAACACAGTACCCAGATTTAGTGTATAGTGGGAGGATGACATGGAATACATTGAGTTTCGGATTTCAACTCCACTATCGATGAAATGTAAAGGGACGTAGTGCACTACTCATAAGGTTGCTGAAAACTCTTCGAAATATCATAAAAAACGAGAGATTTAGCTGGGTTCCAGGTTAGTCTCTCGCAAAGCCAAATTTGTTGGCAAATGAGTATATTCCGCTAAAGAAATGAATAGATGGAGCTGCATAATGTCGGCCAGAAACTTTGTGCAAATAAGTAATCCTATTGATGCAGGAAGCGGAAATTCTCCGTAAGAAATCACACTGAATCATTGGGGTACCACTAATATGGTACGACTTCTCCAAAAGCCTAGTTTACTGAAAATAGATAAAAACACACTTCAATTGAGTCCAGGTGAGTCTCTCGAAAAAGCAAATTAGTTTGCGAATGAGTGTATATTCGCTAATTTCGGGCGATTTGGTTTCAATTAGAACATAAGGTTGACGGTAATCCGGGGACTGCGCCTAACTGATGAGCCCCAAAAAGGGCGAAACCAGTCGTAAGTTGTCGACGGGTTTTCAGCAACCTTATGAGTAGTGCATTGCAAATAAAAAACACACCAATAATTTCCGTAAAAGTCAATATTCAGGCCTGCACCCTCATGTAAATGACTGACTACTTAACTTCTCAGGCTGAAATGTAATCTCACGTCCTTTAATAGTGACTTGATATTTTTGGCATCACACAAAACTTAGAATGGTATTTGTTAATAAAAAGCGAACCCCTTGTATTATAGTTCCTGAGGATCACCTCCTTTGAAACCTATAAGCGTTTAAACCTACGATTGAAGAATTTTCTACAGGGAGCACCAGATTCTAAAATGAAAGGAGCTTTTGGAAACTGTTTATCGGATTAAAGGAAATGGCTTGAGTAGTAGGATTAACAGGCCAGATTTAAAAACAGCATAGTACTCATGGTATAGACCCTTTTATTCTAACGCATTTAGGTACATTCGCGATGAATGTATGTTGACCGTCATCCCATCCACTGAGTTAGAATTTATCCCATAAATAAATTAGAATTGTTTCCTTTGTCAATGCGTTTGTCTATGGAAGATTCGGGACTCTATCTAGCGTTGAATGCTTGTAAAAATATCGACGTATCCATATTGGATAGCTTTGGAATGGAATGAAGCTGGCCTGAGCAGAATTCCAACCTTAAATTCCCTCGGGCTTAACGGTGATGTCAATCAGGTGGACGACTAGACTCTCGTCTGTCGACATCAGAATCCTCATCCATCCAGGCTGATGATTAAAAGGAAGGTTAGCACAAACAGCTTTCTAACAACATAACCAAGCAGTGAGGAACAACATATGGTGGGGCGAAATGCACTCATCTTCAAATAAATTCGGTCCTAAACGGAGACCCAACTGAATACCAGAGGCATGCCTCGTCTATGACATTCTTGACTTGAACATTCTGCGTAAAGGCGCCTTTATTATTTTGTAGGCACGATGTTTGCCATGGAGCAGTACATTAAACAACATAGCGCCGCTTACTCGTTTACTGAAGGCCCTTCGACAGCCCACTTCCTGTTTATCGTGCACATGAGCCTATCGGGCAGTTATGGTTCCCAAGTTTTCGCACACCTTACATTCTACTTGAATGAATCTCTTCAGCTGAAGTTCTCCCATGGGAGCTTCTTCCCGTATTGGTAACAACGCGTATTTGCTTACCTTCCATGTGCGTTTCTCTACTTGAATGAATCTCTTCAGCTGAAGTTCTCCCATGGGAGCTTCTTCCCGTATTGGTAACAACGCGTATTTGCCTAACCTCCATTGTGCGTTTCAATATGAGGCCTCAGGTTTCGAGTACTCTGGACAGTCAAACAGGATGAAAATGCATTTTAACGGAGTCATTTGCACCACTAAGGATAAATTATACTCCCTTTTCTTTTAATTTAAAAGCAGTTTGTCTCTGCTGATGGAAATGTTGTCGCAGCTCTTCAACTATGGTGTTTGGGGGCATTGTTTTTTCAGATATGAATTATTCGCGCGAAATAGTGTCCTCATGTGTACAGATTCACACCAATGATTCTCAAATGCTCAGCTAGGTTTGGGCCTTCAAATCTCTGTAAACATGCCAAGTCTTTCTTGTCTGACAACTTTCCATAAATTTCTGATTTATTTTTCAACAGTTAGCTTGAAAAATTGGTGACACGAGAGATGATAACCATGCTCCTCCTTCCACGTGTGTGTGTGCAGCGGATTACTGCAAACGATGACGTAGAGTCTTAGCAGAAAAAATGAAAGACAATGAAACTTTTCGGGGAGCTACACAATATCCTAACATTCTGGACCGCCAGAATCAAACAAGTAATCCAAAAACATCTCTCCGACAATGGGGGAGTTATCTCAAGCATCTTACGGCATAATTGTGAATAATCAATGTCTAAGGACAATAAATCATTACATAACAAATGAATTATTCAACTGAGTGCTAATTTATTATATCTTAATATTTGTGGAAGAGAAGACGAAGAGTAATTGTATGAACCTCTGCCGCAGAAAAAAAGAGCTGGGTTGAAGTAATGACAGCATCTCTTTCTCTCTCTCTCTGCGTTTATTTCATTTGGGATCGAGAAAGCGCCATGCATATCAACCGTTGAATGTCACATATTTTAGGTAGGGATCACCCGGAACTTTTACACGGACACAGAAGAAGTCAGAAGAAGTCTTCACATGACTTTAGCAGCCCCGTCATCAGTCAAGTTTTGGTCCAGTAAAACCAACGCATCCTGTCAGAATCCAAAAATCTGAAAACAGTGAGCGTCTAACTGAAACACCAGAAATCCTGGGTATTTTGTTTCCTTTCTCCATCAGATCGGATGGTCTGCACAGGTTCGATTATATATATTGTATTGTTACATGTCTGATCACCTCGACATTCTCATCGATATCTCTTCCACACGCCGTCAAGTCAGCTTCCTCTGAAGGAAACTCATTTGCTGCCCGGAATGAGTTCAAGACAACCCACCGCCAAGATTCATCGTGTATTTTGTACGTTTCGATACAACAGTCTAATCTGCATCGTGAAGAAGTGTCTTCCTAATGAGAGCTAGTTTGTGGGCTTCCTTGTTTTACCGTAATCTGGCAGTATGAATTCGTACTTCGATGAAATATATCAAAACACGATGCCTTATCAACCGTTTTTTCAACAATTTGCTAGTTTTATTGACATTCTGGATCGAATGGTTCGTTTCTATCTTGGGTTACCTCAGTCCTTTAACGTTGAGTCACTATGGTTCAGGAAGAATACAAGAAACTTTTCTTATATCATGAATGTTGTTCATGGCTTGATATTTAATGGTGCAGTATGGAATCTGAGAGGCGGGAAAACAAAACCTTCGTTGAATTTGGTAGACAGCGGAAGGTACACAACGCGTAAGACATGTGGGCGTCAGTTTAGGTTTCGAAAACTTGTTAAATTACCCATATTGTACTGTGATACATAAAGTACATATAAGCATACATGCTCAGAAGTATGTTATACATTCGACAAGGAACTTATGAAGATAATTCATGCGTTGCGCCAATATGCAGGTCCTACATATCCACCCCTTGTATTAGAAGATCCTACTTTTTCTGCAACACAATTTACTAATAGTATTCAGCACAACAGATGGATGTCCACCTTCTTGAAACCTCTGTGGAAAGTTTATCTCTAAATGATATGCAGTTGATGAAGTGGCTTTGGTGGCAACTCAGGCAGAACAAATCACGTGAGATAGCAGTGTCATGGTTCATGTTGCCGCTTCTAAATGGACAAATTAAAACAATTTAACACCACGTATTTCGAAGTACATCGTGACCTACGGTGTCCCCCACAAACACCGTAGGTTCTAAACTGGGGCGAGATAAGACGACGCCAATTCATCAATGTTATACCTTTCAGAGTTAAGATTGTACAGATTAAAACTGAATCCAGCTGCATTTGGTGTAGGTCAGCGTCTTCACTTCTGTTACTTTGATGCAGTTTTTTCACCTTATCCTTCATAAACTTCCATAATGTCGAACAAGGTGTGAAAGAGTAAACTCAGAGATTCACATGTTCTCATAAAGTAATCAAAAGCCTTGTCACTTAGAAATGACAGGAGCAGGTTAGTTTGCATTATGCAACTCATGCATGATGGTAGCAAAACAGTTCAATGTGATCCGTAACAAATGACATACGGGATAAAGTTAAATCGGTGTAAAATTTTTGTGTCATATCATGTGCTTAATTCAACAGTTAACCTGATGGAACACCTATAAAGTGAGTCGGCAAACAGTTCCACAAAAGATCTCGCGAGCTACCAAAATCAGTTTTTCAAATAAACTGATTAATAATCACTTCTTCAGTTAAAATTATGGGAGTATTCAGGCAATCTTCAGCCAAGTTTGTTCCCTCCTACTGAATACGCCTGTTTCCCACCATAAGTGTCAGTTTCCTTTGATAGTGAATGAGACGAGTTCATAACATCATTTGTGTTTTTATTTGTCTTTATCTAGTACATAAAACATCTCTTCGGAATCTCTGTTCGTATTCAAGCTGATAGAAAAGATGTGCCACCTTAACCTGAAAGTTCACAGTGCCGATACTTTGCACCACAAACGACGTCTACCTCTCCAAAGTTTTCTCATAGGTAAACGTTGGCCGTAGAATGACACACAAGGAGAGTACCTGGAACGTATCTCTCGCTGAAAATTTAATTGAATGCATTCAACCTTCAGTTATGTGACCACTGGTGCACACGTAGCACGACGGGATTAGACTGGCTCAGCGCGTCCTTTGGGAAAGCAAAGAAAACTATCAAGTCATATTTGGGGCAAATACTACGCACACCCAACCATCGTCTGCCAAAAATACTCGCACCCTCATGAGTTAAATCAACTCTGAGCAAGTTTTAGGAACTTCCGAGAATATAGCGCGCATGCCAGGTCTGCCAACTCCTCCTAGCTGGACTGCAAACTACGAAGTGTCGTTTGCAATGGGGTGGTCAATGAGTTTGCAATGGAGTGGTCAATGAGTTTGATAGTGCTCGTAAGTCATGCTCGACAGATACCGTTTGTGATGGGCTACATACGCCAAAATCATAGATTTATATCTATCGAACTGTGCTACTTTGCTGTATTTCTCGACCATTGAGTTAATGGCCCTTCATTATTGGTAAAACCAGTCTTAGGAGAACGACGTCATATACTCTTTACAGAGACGAGTCGTAGCCCCCGATCAGAAGCAGGAAACCAGACAGATATCCGACGGGACATGTTTTCTATGAACTGTTTAGGGGAATGGTACCTACTAATGGAGGATGGTAGATGCACTGCTCTGTTACGCTTATTTTCTGCCAGGAAATATCTAGACTCATGTGTCTGCTGGTCAGCACAGGGAGAGTTTTTGTGCCCGAGGCTTACCTGGAAATACATATACTTGTCGTCTGCTCTATGGCAGAATAGCGTCCCGCTATCCAGTTTAGTATGAAGGGATATCAAGCGGCCTTCAACGATCCTGATCGATTACTAAGCAAATGTCTACTGGTCATATCTCACTCCCAGTAGTACTACTTATGGTTCTGTTACATGAACAGGCACTCTTACCAACACTTATTTACTGTACCTCAAAACTAACCATATTAGGATAACTCCATGTATAAAATGTCAAACCGTTCGTTTATTTTGGGTATTTTTGTTCATAGCCACTCCACTCTCGTTTGAACGGCCGTGTTCCAGTTCTGGCGTAATTATTCCGGTGAGTCCACACCAAAGGGAAGCAATGGACTCGAGTTTCGCTCTTATTAGAGCTCATCAGCAGGACATATCCAATGGCCGTGCCGGAATTTGAACCCCGGGCATCTGACATGCGAGGCGAGCGTGTAACCACCAAGGCACGTTGGACGCATCTGAATTATCACGTCTGAACAGGCGAATGTGTTCACACTTGAGCGACATGATTGGTGTGCCCGACTCATCGAACGACGCCCCAGTAACTGTCCTGGTTGTGACGATCAAGTGACCCGCCAGTCAGGATGATGATCTCTAATAAGAGCTTCAATGCTTCCCTTTGGTGTGGACTCACCAGAATAATTAAGCCAGAGTAGGGACACGGCCGTTCAAACGAGAGTGGTGTGGCTATGAACGTTCGTTACTTATCCTCGTTTCCCCGAACAACCCGGAGTAATCGAAATGTTATCCATCTAACTATCTCCATTTTAACCGAATTTCACACTAAGACAAAGTCCTGGAGAGAATGTACCGCTTTCATATTCTCACAGTCTTCGAATAATGTCCGCTTACATCCGACCATTTCACTAAAGCATGCGCTGTCCCCCCAACCTTCTTTTAACTAGCCCAGCTGGACGACATCGTTGAATCGAACGAGCTACCAGACATTATTACTTCAGTGCCACACTGATATCGCCAGATTGCGTTGGTATTAAATCACTGCGGGTGGCAGACCAGTCCCTTCAGGGACTCTCTAGTTTCGATCATATTCCCTTATGCCGTTTCAAGAATAACTCCACTGTTTCTGTCTTGCAGTTTCTAGGCAAAGTCCACTCCGAGCCATCCAACCACCTATTACCAAATGCGCATCCTGTATTCCAGTACAACATCACAGTTACACACCAAACATATTAATTGTTATTGAACTCTGTGTATGGGCTCAGATAGGCACCAAATGTGGATACCATCGTACCAGATTACTTAACCCACATCTGGGGGTCTATTCAGATTACGAGCGGATATTACATCTGGACAGCCATCGGTCGATTCCTACCAACTTCGCGTGAGTACATATTATATCCAAAGATTACGACTCACTGCCTTACCATCGTCTCCGTAATGTGAAGTTGTTTGACCGATGGTTTGGTCGGAGTCAGTAGATGACAAATCGTCCAGGTGTGCCTACAAGTTAGGTTCAGTTTACCTGGTTTTGATACTGATAGTCATTCAATCGAGAAAATATTGTACCATTCTTACGAACAGCGCGGTTGTTGTGTCACAAGACAGACATAACGTGTCAGCCAGGCGTAAGAGCTACAGTGATTTTTGTTGGAACCAGCTGGAACCGGAATGCTTCACTCGCTCAAGCTTACCTTGTTTGTGCTATGTGGGGTGTGCGTGTTGACACTGTTGACTCAGGCCGGTCTTTGTCGCATACAGGTGGGAACAATCTGCGCAGACCAATAGGGTGACCATGTTTGTGCTAAAACTTTCATAGACGTGAATTCGACGGAGAGCTACAAAACCGGTTTTCGGACTGCAGCACCTGCCACAGTCCGCACGAGTCACTCTTATCTATTGATTGAAAATGGTTCAGAGGCGCCAGCTGGAGGGTGTAGTTCACTACCTACAGTAACCAGTACACTTAAACCAAACAGGGTGGCTAATCCATTTGGAACTGCTGCAATCCTAGCTCACCCAGATTGATGTACGGTCCACCTGGCCAGCAAAACTATGAGGTGATTTAGCGCACCGACGTCAACGCCATGGTCAGCTGCTGCGTTTGGTCTTTTTTTGATAGATCTATTAGTTCATGAGGCAATTTCTTTGGTTATTAACAAGTTTCATCCAGTGACTTTTATCTGCACTTCCTTTGTTTTCTGGTAATCATCCTGGAGATTCCAGAAAAACTGCACAATTTTTTCGTATGTTCTGGGAGAATTACCGTCATGCTTTTGATAAATATCTCAAAAGATTAAGGCATAAAAATTTCAGCAAATGAAATCAATCGTTTATTAATCCACAGAAGAGTGATCTGTAGTATTATTAACCTACTCTTAAACGAAATACTCATTCGTCTGTTGATAAAAATGTGGACTCACAACAGAGAACTTGGTGTATATCGATTATGAAGTTGACCCATGTATAATGAGGGTTTTCTTCCTTCCTGAACACAGTACCCAGATTTAGTGTATAGTGGGAGGATGACATGGAATACATTGAGTTTCGGATTTCAACTCCACTATCGATGAAATGTAAAGGGACGTAGTGCACTACTCATAAGGTTGCTGAAAACCCGTCGACAACTTACGAATGGTTTCGCCCTTTTTGGGGCTCATCAGTTAGGCGCAGTCCCCGGATTACCGTCAACCTTATGTTCTAATTGAAACCAAATCGCCCGAAATTAGCGAATATACACTCATTCGCAAACTAATTTGCTTTTTCGAGAGACTCACCTGGACTCAATTGAAGTGTGTTTTTATCTATTTTCAGTAAACTAGGCTTTTGGAGAAGTCGTACCATATTAGTGGTACCCCAATGATTCAGTGTGATTTCTTACGGAGAATTCCGCTTCCTGCATCAATAGGATTACTTATTTGCCCAAAGTTTCTGGCCGACATTATGCAGCTCCATCTATTCATTTCTTTAGCGGAATATACTCATTTGCCAACAAATTTGGCTTTGCGAGAGACTAACCTGGAACCCAGCTAAATCTCTCGTTTTTTATGATATTTCGAAGAGTTTTCAGCAACCTTATGAGTAGTGCATTGCAAATAAAAAACACACCAATAATTTCCGTAAAAGTCAATATTCAGGCCTGCACCCTCATGTAAATGACTGACTACTTAACTTCTCAGGCTGAAATGTAATCTCACGTCCTTTAATAGTGACTTGATATTTTTGGCATCACACAAAACTTAGAATGGTATTTGTTAATAAAAAGCGAACCCCTTGTATTATAGTTCCTGAGGATCACCTCCTTTGAAGCCTATAAGCGTTTAAACCTACGATTGTAGAATTTTCTACAGGGAGCACCAGATTCTAAAATGAAAGGAGCTTTTGGAAACTGTTTATCGGATTAAAGGAAATGGCTTGAGTAGTAGGATTAACAGGCCAGATTTAAAAACAGCATAGTACTCATGGTATAGACCTTTTTATTCTAACGCATTTAGGTACATTCGCGATGAATGTATGTTGACCGTCATCCCATCCACTGAGTTAGAATTTATCCCATAAATAAATTAGAATTGTTTCCTTTGTCAATGCGTTTGTCTATGGAAGATTCGGGACTCTATCTAGCGTTGAATGCTTGTAAAAATATCGACGTATCCATATTGGATGACGAAGCTTTGGAATGAAGCTGGCCTGAGCAGAATTCCAACCTTAAATTCCCTCGGGCTTAACGGTGATGTCAATCAGGTGGACGACTAGACTCTCGTCTGTCAACATCGGAATCCTCATCCATCCAATCTGATGATCAAAAGGAAGAGTAGCACAAACAGCTTTCTAACAACGGCACCAAGCAGTGATGAGCAACATATGGTGGAGCGAAATGCACTCATCTTCAAGTAAATTTGGTCCTAAACGGAGACCTAACTGAATACCAGAGGCACCTCTCGTCTATGACATTCTTGACTTGAACATTCTGCGTAAAGGCGCTTATTTTATTTTGTAGGCACAATGTTGGACATAAACCGGTACATTAAACAACATAGCGCTGCTTACTCGTTTACTGAAGGCCCTTTTATCCTCTATTTCGCTTACTCGTTTACTGAAGGCCCTTCTAGTTTATCCTCTATTTGGGCCTATCGAGTGGTCATGGTCCCCAAATTTTCGCCTTGCATTCTACTTGAATGAATCTCTTCAGCTAAAATTCTCCCATGGGATCATCTTCCCGTATTGGAAACAACGCGTATTTGCCTAACCTCCATTATGCGTTTCGCTCTGTGGTCTCAGGTTCAAACTCATTCCGTTCTTGAGTTCGAACATCCGAATACGCGACTATATCAGTATTATTCCTCTTCTGTTTCCTACACTTACCAGTATACCTAAAACAAATTTCTCTCGCCAATATGCGTTCCTACGAAGAAGCCCTCTACATGCCTCTGAACAAGAAATATAACGCTTTACAGTTGATAAACAGGGATTGAATTCTTTAGCCTACGCTGTTTACCTTAATTCTAAGGTAGTACAAATTTGTGATAGAAAGCTAACCGCCCTTCATTTTTTGTATAGTGCTCTTCCAAGAAGAGGGCACTGGAATTTTTGGGGAACTTACAAGAGGGAGAAACCAGGTCCCTCACGACCCAACAGTAGCAAAGGTTTCCACAAGAGGTCATATCTTTTTCAACTACCACAGAGTGGGGGTTACGAACTGCCAATAGGGATTTTGTTTTGTACGTGAAGCTAGCCAGTACTAAAACAGACTGTGTGACTGTTTTATACTTATTGGGAAGCATCAACAGTTCGCATCTCACGAATATTCAAGGGAAACTTCTTGACAGCAGCCGAATACTAAACCTTTGGGATGAATGAGGCGAATCAACAGTGTGAGCTATTCGCACTCAAGCTACTGGGACACTCATCCGTCAGTCACAGAGCTCACATCACATGTTCCTATGTTGACCGATTCCTGGAGTGACAGATAAAGGTTCGCTCATTGTGTGAATTATTCTTCCATCTAGATGACATTTTCCGAGTAAAAGTGAAAAAAATTTCTATTTTATGCATCTCTTCTAAGCTGAAATTTGGTCAGACTCTCTGGGCGTTTTTTAAGTCAACAACATGCTCACAAAAGCCCTGTTTATCGGACCCTGTGAGTTCACCATGATGCTGGTTACACACCACGGCAAGCTGCATTGAAACTGTACCCAACTGCCCTGTTGCTCTCTGCGTATACGTAACGCTGTTATGATTCTCAATCGATAAATATTTCGAAAACAGTGGAATATAGGCGTATCCTAGTCTGGAATTGGACGAGGGTGAGGCGGGAATCATGCAACTGAACAGATCACTCCTACCCGGCTGGGATTGTGGCGAAGGAAAGTAAAACTGAGAAAACGCTAGATTTGATCTTCATCGTAA